CCCCCCCCCACGGACCCGTATATTAGAATACTGTAGTAGGCTCATCCTGTGTCTTGATATGCATAGTATATTTTTCAAATAGACCCTCAGAATCACCCAGTGTAAATCCAAACATTCAAACTTCTCTCTGAGCGCTAGTTAATAATGTCAAGGCAACGTAGTTCAAGTGAAGATCCAACCGGACACCTTCCGTCGCCACAGCCAAGAAAGTGTGTGAAAAAAAAAAAAAAAGTGTGTTACCAAAAAAAGGGTACCATATATATATGCATCACACACACCAGATAACGATGACGGGCGGCGACGAGGCTGCGGTACCGGAAGTGCGCGGGCAGCATGAGCGTCTCGACGTCCAGCGTCGGGAAGCCCTCCTTGGCAGCCTTCGCCAGAGCCTCGCTCGTCAGCAGCCCCTCGTACACGTCGAACACGTCTTTACCCTGCTGCTCCCTCTCCCTAACCTCGACTGGGCTGGCCAGCTGGAACAGCACCACCTTGATCTTCGCCACCGCCATCCTCGCGAAGACTTCGAGGTCCTGTAGGTCCGGAGGGGGCCCGCTGTCGGTCCTTACGTGCCTCTTCCCCTTGGGTCTGCTCCCGCTACCCTCCTCTCCTCCCGATGCAGAACACGATTCCTGGGCGATACTTGCCGCGGAAGAAGCGCCTGCCCCCGATGGCGGCGTTTCTGGCCTTGCCGCCGCCGCCGGTGGTGTTGTTGTCATCACAGAAGAGGACTGGAGGATGGACAGGAGCGCTCGGACTCGGATCGCGTCGTCCAGCTGCGAGATCCGGCTTCCCACCATCGCGCTGGCCCGCGACCGCATGGAGGCCTGCCTGGAGAGCCACCCGACCTTCACCTCCACGGGCAGGAAGGATTCCTCGTGAGCGTTGATTCTCAGCAGAGACCGAGAGTCCAAACCGTTAGTAGAATCCATATCTTGGTGGTATCCGGCGGAAAACACAGCAGGGGAGAAAAGGGGGATATCAGATGACAAAAAAGGAAGAGGAAAGGGCGCGGTTTTGGGGAAAAAAACGTCGGAGGAGAGTTGGTAATTCTGTAATTCTCACCTCTTGGCAAAATTATTTGTTGTCCCGGGGGGAGTAAACACCAGGTAAAAGCGGTGCTGGTGATAGATAGCAGGCACGGGAAAACAAGAACACAACAACAGCGGGTTAACGGAGGCATCGCCGGGGGCATCGATCGATCGGGTGATGTATATGCGCTGCAGGCAACCAGCAGCAGTTGTGCGAACAGGCAAAGATGATAAGATGATGGCGGGCAGACACCGGACGCACCGCAATCAAGAATTGAAGATTATTTTTTTGGCAATTTTCATGAGAATTAGTGGTAGTAGTGGGTGGAGTGTACCAAGCACGCCGAGGCGTTCACCCCGTGTGTCGAGATGCGCTGTTTAGGGCTACCCAGAACCGGCAGTTGCGTCCATGGGGCGCGGGTAGACGCGGGAAATGCATATCCAAATCGAACGCGGGATCGAACCTGAAACGTATCTGTGTAACCACAAACGGAGTACACGTTTGTTGTGATGTTGTGATCGTTGGCGATCCACCGCGGCAACAACCGCAACGGTAGTTGCAGCAGCGGTAGCATGCCCTCGACGTTGAACAAGTTGCAACTTCGGTGTGCTTTCGATCACGGCAGCTAGCGCGAGTCCCACAACCAGAGAAGAGCCACAACTGCTAACGGCGAAAAGAAAGAGACCTACCCTCCCGTGGTTTAGCGACCTGCATACCTGTCCTGCTAACGTCGCGCCGAAAGACAGCAAGCAGTGAGACAAGATATGGCTGTTGGACTCGCCATTGCCAGCAGGGAGACGAAAGGGTTCCTCGCGTGCACGACGAACAGGCGACGTGAGGTGACTTGGTTGGTGCCTTACCTGAGCAAGACAGCAGCTCCCAGCAGTGGCTGCGAGTGCTTGGTGCACACGTGCGACAGGGGTGGTCTGCCAATTTGTGTGTGTTCCCCGGTAGCCGCTTGCCGTGTAGAGAACCCGGCCGTTCAGCACTTCAATCCTCTCTCGTTTGTGTCCGTTGGGAAGAGATTGAGATGAAAACGAGCCCGCGCGCGGCACCTCCGACTGACTGCTGCTCTCCCTCTTGGGTGGTGAACTGACTGCTGTGCCCTCTTGTGGTCAGATTTACCCCTCTCACGGGCACACCACACGCTCTTTTCTCGCTGCTGTCGGTCTGCCTCTCACCTCTCACCGCTCACCGCTCGCTCTGCTCTGCATTCTGCATTTGCCTGGAAACAGCTCAGATCGGAAGAGAAAAACCCCGGGCCCAGGAAAATGCTGGCGCAGGGGCCACGCGAATTCATGATGGTACCTTCTTTCTAATCACGGAGCCCTTGTATCGTCTCCCTGGTTTGGTCGCAGCCAGCGTGCACCAGACACACACGTTTTTGCTCCATCTCTACTCGTCACACCATGCTCTCTACTCTCGCTCGCACTACAAGCCGGCTGGCTGCCCGACAAGGCCGAAGGCATGCCATCACGGCGTCCATCGGTGGGGCCAACCAGAAGCACACGGTGGTGCTCATCAGGTTCGATGTAGCAGTGGGTCTCGACCGCAATCTTAGTGCCACCATGGGTGCATTTTCAAAGTTCAGTTTGTTGTCTGCTGCTGCTGCTAGCTTGGTGTAATATCGTGCAGGACGCCTGTCGAGCTTCAGCTGTTGCGGTCATACAAGGGAAATAGTATGCTGTCCATTGTGTGCATCATGTAGCGGACGTCGTGGGAGTAGCCTTGCCGTCAAAGGCAGCTGGCTGGGCATATGCATATGTGCACAATCCAAATCAAGTGCAGTCGACGGCGGTGATGCAGTTGCCTTTTGTCTGCGAGATCGAAGCAACACCGACACACCTTCCTCCTACACACGACCAATTAGTCTACATAGTTTGGTGCACGCCCTTACCGCAGGGCCACAGCACCGGGCCTCAAAGTCCCCCTTTCCCTTTGCTGTGCCCTCGACGTCGTCGCTGCGCTGCTATTGCGTGTGCATGCACACGGAACACCTAATAGGCACGGCGAATCGCAGTGGAACCTTGAGAACCGCTTCACCGGTTGGTACAACATCCAGCTGTCTTCAAAGGGGGAGATAGAGGCGGCGGAAGGGGGCAGGCTCATCCACGAAGCTGGGTACACTTTCGGTGAGGGGGCGTGCTGGAACCGCAACGAGCAGTGCGGATCTTTTCGACTGTTTTGGTCGTCTGTTGGGCTATGTTGGAGGTGTTGGTGTACGGGCGGGTTCCCTCCCTATGTGGGTCTTTTTCAACAGGGACCGCTCCTTCTGCTGTCAAGGGGAGTTGGTGACGAGGGTCGGTCACACCTGACCGTTATTTTTGGATACTGCTGAAGAAGGTTGTGGTGGTGTTGTGGCCAGGATCTTCTTGATCAGAGATACTGCTGTTGGACTGCTGTCTGCTGTATACATCCCCGCACGAATGGCTCGGGAGCGAGCGTCGCACACCGTGAAACGTTTATTTTTCAGCTCGCGGCATACAAAGATGATGATAATACAGCAGTAGTACTATTTAGCAGCAAGCACGCTGGTGCAGCAGCACATCGAACAGATGTAGATACATACCTGTTTGTGTTCCTGTGGTGTGTACGCACACACGTGTCTTTTTGCTCGAGCGCGCGAAAAGTTTTGTGGAATTTCCATCTCAGTTTGAACAACGTACGCCGCGTGACGCCCTGGCACCTGTCGTGATATATCGTTCAACTTTCGATGCATCACGCGCTAATTACGCGTTTTCTGCATGGCGTCCAACGTCTCCACAGCAGAATATGTGTGCATATATCTACGGTTTGTGTGTTTTTTGTCGTCGCATCTATGAATAACATGCATTACTGAGTCGATATCTACCCATCTACCTAGATAACGCCGGTATACGTATGTTCGACGAACCTGCCGGGTCACACATTGTACTCCTTTCGGAAGGTTCATCACGTTTTTTCCTTTTACATGCAGAACGTTCCTCCACCGCTTTTCGTTGTGCCAAGCCGGGGTAAAGTCACGCCGGAGCTTCTTTTATTTTCTTCTTCGTTCGGGTCATGAAAATGGAATGGCGACGGAATTGACGCTGCGCATGTTGATGTGCCTTACAAGAACGTTCCTACAGTTGAGAATCACTCCGTTACACCCTTGTTCCAACTGCAAGAAACAGGCTTAAATTTTCACGAAAAATGGGATTAAGAAAAACACAGCCCAGCGGTGGATACAGTACTAGACTGAACTCTACTATAGCCAGGTACATATATTTACAACCTGTGCTCGACAGCAGCAGCAGTGGCGATGAAAGAAAAACTGAACCTCGACCCGATTTTTACTTTTCTTACCCCCGGGCCCGTTCTGTACCTTTTTTTGCCACCAGATATTGCGTACACGTCGTTCCTGAAGCGCGCGATCAAGACCTGCTGGCACACCCTCGAACAGACCGGGCTGGTGAGAGGGAGACGCATGCAAACCTACATACGTTGATACATTGAGATTTGCTGCCCTTTTTCTGCTGCTGGCATCGTGAGATGTTCGATAGGAGTGTGTTGTTCCGACCCCGTTCTGTTGGAAAGGTGGCGCCCGACCAAATGTGTCGCGCAACGCGTACTACTGTGCTGTAGTCACAGCCGTAAGATTGGACAGGATAAAAAGTGAGAACACGCACACAAGTGGATTATTCCCAAAGATGGATTATCCAGCTTGTCTTGAAACACAGCTAGCAGTAGCCTGCTTGGGGTAGATGGCAGCAGCACCGAGAGCGGTGCTCGTCTTCGTACTCCGCGCTGTCTTGTGCACTGCTGTACGATTATAATCGAGCGAGAAAAGCATGACGCAGGAGAGTGATATATTCTCTCATATGCATACTTTCTCTATTTAGTGTCGTGCGGTTCTGCTGTAGTCCTTGAGACAAGTAGACAATGACCCCGCTTCCTCCCCAGCTCTATCTTCGATGTTTGAATGGCCAAACGGTACCGGCAGAGTAATGTTGCCGTTGCAGTTGTCGCGCGTTGTGTGTTATCGCCCGTGTTATGCTGCTGCTGTTGTAGTGTCAATATTCCTCGCAAACATCGGGAGAAATCACGCTTGTTGCTCCTGTCCCACCTGGTTCTCACCAATATCTTGGGGGAGTCTTTGGAGTCGTCTTCTACTCACCATCTAAATATGCCACAACATCGTTAGTATATGTCGTTGACATATGTATTGGCTGTATCTGAGCAACACCATCGCCCGTTGCCTTCGGTGTCCGTGTGCTCCTTTTTTGTTGGTTTCGTGCTTTTCGGTGCAGATGCACATCCCGATCGTGAACGCGTGGCAGCTCAACGAGCGGCACTACGGGGGCTTGACCGGTCTGGACAAGCAGGAGACCGTTGAGAAGCACGGAATAGATCAGGTGTGACGACACGGAGATGTGTCTCTCGGGACACACTAACCCTCTTTTGGGGGCAGTTGGCTTGTGACCACGGAAGGCATTCGCGTCAGTTGGACCAGTACCGACGGATATTACAAGTTACTCAGCGTAGACCGTAACTTTTTCAGAGTGAAGCAAAAGTGAAGACAACAACATAGATCAAGTGGAATTCAAACGAGTCAAGATTCACGGGATAGGCCCCACGGGATAGGCCAGGTGACAAAAAAATGTCAAAAGATTCCACGCAAATAGATTAGGTCACGAATAATGGCGTCAAGGTTTGCTCGCCATTTGTCCGTACCGGACTGGACGTGGTTGGGTGACCTTGAGGCATGCGTACGACACAGACGGCGATTTGATTCCATGTCCTGCCTGCTGCTGACCACAGCAAGGCAAGAAATGTTTGAAGTTGTATCACATGGCGTCCACTGTAATGATTTTTGCCAGTCTCTCTGTGAGGTTTATGTTTACTTTCTAAAAACTGTCAAATGATACGCTTTTTCTTGGAGGTTGTATGATCTGAAGGCCGTGCAAACGACTATTGTCGACAACTAGTCAATTTGCGTTGAAGGCTACGGTATGGAGGCCGTTCAAGCAATGATTCCCGACGCCGCCGCTTGTGTTTTCGGCAAGAACAACGATCGGCGCACTACTTTCCTAACGACAAACCCCCCGCATATCCAACTTGTGTTGAAGGTTATGGTATGGAGGCGTTCCTACGACATCCTGCCGCCGCCCGTCGACAAGAAGAGCGAGTTCTACCCAGGCAACGACCCCATGTGAGGAACAGTCTCAAGAACGGTCCCAGAAGCGGTCTCCTATGCTCCCATGCACCATGCCCGTAGCCCCATTCTGTATGTTCCTTTGTATGTTACATCTAGATACCTCACTCGTCATTTTGTGTGTTCATGGCGCCAGACGAGCGTGGATTGACGCGTCCACTGACCGCCAGCATGTTTGTGCGAGGTACGCATAGCAGGCAGGATCGTTGGAAACGGTCCGGGCGTCCGGCTGTCGGGTTCGCACGAATGCATCGACGACCAACGTTAGTTGTCGCCTGCCTTTTTGGATTTTGGGTTGCTGGCTCAAGGTCGCTCAAAGCCGAAACGTGCGAACGACAGATATGTATGTACCTCGACCCCCCTCTCCCCCGCCCCGAGGAGTAAGTAAGGTTAAAGTTAGTGGATAAACAACCTCTTATTGGCTTGTTATTTCCCGCTGCGCAGAAGCGCTCTTTTGGGGTTCAGGGTTAGTGGATGAAGTTTCTGACTTGTTGATCCCCCCCCCGCTCTCCCCCCCCCCGGTGTTTCTCTTTCTTGCGCGGTTAACACGCCAGGTACAAGTCGCTTTCTCCCGAAGAGCTGCCGGTAACGGAGTCTTTGGCAACGACCCTCAAGCGCGTGCTGCCCTACTGGGAGAAGGTCATCAGCCCGGAGATAGAGTCTGGCAAGAACGTGCTGGTGCGTCTAAGCTTGCCACACTGGCCTTCAGCTTGTAGGAGTTGAGGGGTAAAAAAGAAACACGCCGGCAAGAGGACTTGACTCTTGTGGGTGCGATGGTTATGTGTCGACGTTCGGCGCACGCTTCTGTTGTGAGCTGTGAGGTAGAAGGACAACACTCCAGGAGAGGCTTGTTTCCGAACCTCTGCGAGAGAGTGCTTCGCCATCACAAGGTGTCGCTGCTGCCGGCGTGTTTGCTCACGGGAGTTGGGGGCGGAGCGACTACCGTACGGGGGGGGTATGCAGTTGCTCGGCTGGGAGCGGGGAGAGATTGGTTGGCGCAACGCAAAAGGGGTGGTGTGTAAATTTCCCCCCACGCGTGAAAAAAGGAAGGGCGTGCACAAGTTGTCTTGACGACGGATACGATACCATGCGTTGCGCATGATACCATACCCCCTTTTCGGACCGATTTTCAATTACTGATTTACTGAGCAGCAAGAACAGTGACGGTGCCGAAAACGGCGGCATTAGAACGGTCTCGTCGAGAACTTTCCGGAAACGCATCATTTGATTTTGGTGTCCTCTTGGTGGAGGGAGTAGCCGAGCTTTTTAAGTATCGGTCCAGCCAGGGTGTGTGATATCTTGCGTCACCTATGGTAGTCTACAGCTCGCCTCTGGCAGGGGGCACGCGGTTTGGGAAGAGTACGTGGTGGGATTGGTTGGTACGGGATCTGGGGAGGTTTTGCAGCGCTCGGACAGGGTTTTCGGTGTCTGGAGAGGTCTGTGCCGCAACAGCTGCTTGGCATGGTCGTCTACGATTTGCGAACAACATGTGCTGTCTCAGAGGGTGGTAGTGTTTTTTTGTTTTTTTTTAACAGACACATTCGGATCTCGAGATCTCCCTTGCATTTCACCCCTTGCATCCCCGTTCCCTTGACCTGAGACCAACCTTCGTTGTGACGGCACTTGTTGACACCTGGGCACTCCTTGCCCCCCTCCCTCCCATCTCCTCTTCGTTTTCCACCCCCACCCACACCCCTGTATCTTGGACAGATCGCGGCACACGGAAACTCTCTCCGAGCGCTGGTGAAGCACCTGGATGACATCCCAGAAGACGTCCTCACCGGCCTCAACATCCCCACGGGTGAGAGGTCTAGAAACACTCAGCTCAGCGGCGGTCCCTCGATGGTTGCCGCTTGTACAGTCCCGGTGCCCGGATGTAGCGCCGGTTAAGGTCGTGCGGCACAGCACAGACGGAATACCCAACAAGTCGTTCGACACTGTTTTGAGTAGGGTCGGTGGCGTGTTCTACAACCCCACCAACTCGCACCTTGCGATTTTGCGTACCCCCCGTCCTATCCTTGCCCTCATTGTCCCCCTCCGCCGAAACGCGAAAACACACACGCTTAACCCTATTCTCCCCCCATTATCCCCCCCCGCCAAAACGTGCAACTATTCGCCGCCATGGGGTATGTTCGATTCCGGTCAGGCGTGCCCCTCGTGTACGAGCTGGACGATAACATGAAGGTCATCCCGCACAAGGACGCCATCGCGCCTCTTCAGGGCCGCTACCTGGGAGACTTGGAGAAGGTCAAGGCCCGCATCGCCGGCGTGGCGAAGCAGACCAAGATCGTCTTCGTCGACAGCACACCGTAGGGTACCTCATGTTTGGCATGCCTTACTTAGCTGTTTAGACCATTGAGAGGGCGGAGCGTTGTTCCCGCAGGACCGATCGCCGATGGCACGAAGGGGGGGGTTGGGAGGGCAGGCTCAAACACCATAAACGGCGATGTCGCCAAGATTCGGCAGGAATGGGTCGAACAACTAGCTAGCTATTAGGACTCACGGAGGCGATCCAGCCCCTGAGTAAAACCAGGAACAGAACAGATTCACATGTGCGAGAGTCGAGTACACGATTCAGCGGGGGGGTACGTATACAATGCAACGAGAGTGAGGGCGGGGGGGGGGGCAAAGGCAGATTTTTCGGCGAAATTCTGTCTCGAGTGAGTCAGAGAGGCCAACGTGTTGCTGACGACTTTGTGGTCCGGGGTTTTCTAGGGTAACTGCTGTTGTGTCCG